GCTACTTGAGACGGAAGGCAGATGCGTATGCGTGTGACTTCTTTTCAAATTTTACGTGCACAATTAGTGTGACCACGAAATGTAAGGAGATTCATAATCGCGGAAATATGAACGTTATATTTTCAGTGATGAGCTTTTGAAAGTTTTCTGTAAAGCGACCTTAACCTTTAACTGGTGGTGACAAGCGGTCTCACAGGCCGGGCGGCGTCAGTGAAACATCGTTTCACCCCCTTCACCGTACTTCCTATGTTTCACCGCTTCAGTAGCTTCGAGTTTAGTTGTGTCTACGCCGTAGATAAGGATATTTGCATCATTCAGCTCCAAATCGACAAGTTACATCGATGTAAAGTTCATCAGCGGTCTCTCAGACCGCATGTCACCAGTTACGTGACATTTTTTTCATACAGTTTTTTCGTATTTTTACAGTTTTTACTTGCAATTTATACTTAAATAACTCCAAAAAAGAAGCGTAGGATCATTAGTTGAGAACATAGTGCCATACTTTATGAAACAACTTGAAAATTCGAGATTTGAAAAATATCTGGAAAAGGAAGACGCAATTGGGTCGGAAGCCGAATATTTTCGTGAAAACATCGTTCTGGAGCAAAATGACCATGATTCGGAAGCCGAAGAAAGTGTTTTTGAAGATAAAGGACCAATTGACGAGAATCAGTCAGAAAGTGAAAATGACGGTCCACCTTTATGCCAAACAATAAATGCCCTGACAGCCAATAAAAAATACGAAAGTTTCACCACTGCCAGTTTTCTAAATGATAGGTTACCTACGTGTGATATGTTTTTTTAAATTGGTTATTATTTAAACTATAATAAAAAATACAAATTTTGTTATAATTTGTTGATTTAAATTTATTTGTTTGCGATTATCGATCTCATCTCTAGTTTTTTGATTTTTATTACTACATATAATTTAACAGCAAGTTCTGCATTAAAAATTATATTTAGAGTTTATTATTTCATTTTAATTTAATTCTTTTATATGCTAATAATCTGTTTTTAAAGATTGTGGTATGCTACCTTGCCTAGTTTCTATGCTACAGTCTTGATACGGTAGCGGCCTCTCAGACCGTACGTCACCAGTTACGTTACACAAAAACCATGTCACCAGTTAAAGGTTAAAAGTGACGTTATTCATATTTGAGATCATTTTCTTTAAGTTTTGTCTTTTGTTTTCTTGGCTGAAACCTTAGATTAATAAAGCCTTACATTAATAACTGACAACGCCACTCTTGTGGCGGAGTTTTGGGCTGACACTGTGTAGGTTTGTTGTCGACACGAAAAGAAGAAGAAGAATAAAGCCTAGATTGATGGTCTTCTTATTTATAAACTCTTCGTCAAAAGTGAGGCAAAAATCTTATGTCATTACTGTCAAATCTTATGTCATTACTGTCCAGCTCCTTACTGCTACCTTTGTGAGATCGTCTGTCCACCTTGTAGGTGGACGTCGCAGGCCACTTTTTCCGAATTTCTATATTTTATCATATTCTGACGTCTTTCTCAAACGTTCTTTCGCCCCAAGTCCGCAGTTTTCGTGTTAACCAAGCAGTGTCCAGTAATTCCCCTATAATTAGAGGGTGCGCAGTCGGGTGCGCCGATCGCAGATAGACGCATGTCTCCGAGGTGCGCACCTTGTCCTAACATGACGAAATGTCCTTTAACCGTTTTTGATGACTTCAAATTAAGGACAAGGAAATTGGGGAACCTAGGAAAATTAATTTCCTTTGCCCTAATACACGTCGAAATGTCCTTTAACCGTTTTTGAAGACTTCTTTAGGACAAGTAAGTTGAAATCTAGGAAAATTAATTTCTTTTGCCCTAATAGTACATGAAGAAATATCCTTTAACCGTTTTTGAGGAGTTTAAATGAAGGACAAGATGTTGGGATATTTATGAAAATGAATTTTCCTTGTCCTAATACAATACAAAGGCTAATCTAGCCCTACAAGAAAGAAGCAAAGCCTTTAACCTTGTATTTAGAACAAGAAAAAGAATCGAGCTTTCCAATTACATTTAAATAGTTGTCCATATATTTACACAAAAAAATCTCGAAAATGCTCATTTAGTCAGCGTAAAGACCGATTAAAAGATTCAGATTACAGTGGGTGAGAGACATGCTGTGTAACGTATTTAAGCTTAAATTAAGCTTTTTAACCACCAACTAGGAGACTTGTTGTTTGACACGCGATCTATCACGATCAACTGAAAAATCTATGATTGCTTATTCACCACATTAGCCACCTGTGCTTTGAGTGGCTTATCTACCTGTTCAGCCTTAAACACGATAATGGTTTAACTCTTCAAGCACCAGCGAATCGAGACACAATATAAATCAATTATTAACGCAGTCTCATGCGACCACTTAGGGTTCCACGTGTTAAGAATCTATCTCATAAATAAAAGGGCTAGGTGTTTCACCAACCCGCCATAATAAATAAACATTACCAGGAATAGCGAATTACCCGAACATTTAGGAGCCACCCTAGTCGCAGCACAATTAAATGGTATTATCTAACAATCAAACACATAGACGGCAATAACGCTCGGTGAATACGTGCGTAATAAGTGAGTGCACTGTTTAAACACCAGAACTGCCGTCACACTGCCCAGGGGTGTGGGTTAGAGTGGAAGATGTTAGAGTAAGAAAATTCAAGGCTCAAGGTCACCCAAAGGGCGATGGAGCGTGCTATGCTCGAAGTTTCCCTGCGTGATCGAATCAGAAATGAGGAGATCCGTAGGAGAACCAGAGAGACTGACATAGCCCGCACAATCGCTAAATCAAGTAGCAGTGGGCAGGGCACATAGCTCGTAGAGCTGATGGCCGCTGGGGCAGGAAAGTTCTTGAGTGGCAACCACGAGCCGGAAGACGTAGCGTGTGCAGGCCTCCCACTAGTTGGACCGACGATCTGGTGAAGGTCACGGGAGATGCCTGGTTGCGAGCGGCGCAGGAAATCCTTGGGGTGGTCTTTGTCCAGCAGTGGACGTCTTTCGGCTGAAACGAACGAACGAAGAAAATTCATTATATTGATGACGTATATTTGAAGCAACGCTCTAGTGAAGGTCACGAAAAGTATCTGGACGCAGGACTATTCTTAGTGGAGGCCTTTGTCTAGCTGTGGCCGTATTACTGGGACAATCAAAGTGCTCTTTGAAACGATTGGCTACAGAAGAGCCCTTTTACTCGTCCCTAAGTAATTTTGGTCTTACCACTTCATCGAGACCATAATATAATAATCAAGGACGGTTTCAAAAAAGTTTAACTCAGTTACTACAGTCAGCTATCTAATTGGATACCTAGATAATAACACCATAAATCAACTAACATACTTTCTATAAACTGCCAAAACGTGATCCCCGATAGAATTTGAATAGCACTGAGAACCCATAGCGTCAGTATTTTATTATTTATCATCATCATCATCATCTCAGCCATAGGACGTCCACTGCTAAACATAGGCCTCCCAGAATGCTTTCCATGTTGCCCGGTTGGTAGCGGCCTGCGTCCATTTCAATTAAGTATTAAATTTTAAGGCAAACTACAAATCCAGTCTTGGTTTTCAGGGCTAAGATGAAGTATGTTTTACAGAAGGTATCTCAAAGTTTTAAGACTTTATTTAGTTTTAGTTTTGTCATAATTTTCAAAGTTATTAAGTTAAGGTTTGTAGTGTCTACTACATACCTATAAAAATAAAAATCGCGATTTCCTATGTTTTAGGGCAATAAAACAAACAGACAGACGGGTGTGTCTCCCATGACGGGCGCACTTCGCTCGGGTGTTAGCGGTCGCAAACTGTATACATATTACATACACATACATAATATACGAATACATGCAGGACGCGATGCTATCGGCGTAAGATGGGTGACATTTTGTGCTAATGATGTCCTGAAAACATTACCATTCCGACTGCAGGCGAGCAAAAAGCGAAAACATATGAAACTTTACTTGAATGAAAGTTTTTATTATTAAACTTATTTAAGTTGTACGGGATAATTAATTGTAGTGGGTGGGATAACTAAATAGCGGAGTAACTGAATAGTAAGATAAGCTTCAGCTGATGAGAGCAAAAGCTTGTATCATAGATTTGTTTCAGAGAGCACAAAGTTTGAACGGGAATACTTTTGTTTGTAGAGGAATTGAGAGTAAATACTAAATGTAGTCATACTAGTCATAGTCATAAATGTTTATTGCATCATGTTGGTATATTAGGATCTTAAGTAATTTGAATTAAAACTACAGGATAAGTATAGTATGCAAGTATTTTCATTGTTTTTCTGTTTTTGTTATTTTCAATTATAGGTGGTTCAAAATTGTTTTTGAAATTAAATTATTTTATTCTTCTTAACAGAACTTTAAAAAAACTTTCGATACTATTGGAAACGCTCTTAGCTTGAAAGCTCTTCGTTTCGTTTTTATCATAGTTCAAGCAAAAAGCTTTTTCGATTATAAATAGTTATCTAAATATCTTATAAAAGATAAGGATAAGAGGATAACGATAGAGTTCTTTAGGGTTTCATTCCTCCGACTAAATATCAACTAGCAAAAATAAATTCCACTCTACAATTTCGCTAGCGCCATTTCTTGTCCTCAGCTCTATCTATACATCCGCATTCGTATCTTATCTATTTAACAGTCCTTAGCTTCCCGCCCCGCGGAATACCAGATACATTGTACCCATCAAAAATTACCGACTCTACTCTCTTCCGTAGTTAAAAATAAAGTTTATAATTGAATAAACGGAACGCATTCACGGTTTTGAAAATTGACAATTTAAAGAAGATCCTCGGATGGGCAGGGAATCCCCCTTTAAAGAACGATATTTGGTTTGAGCGGGAGGGGGCAAGGGGATCAAGTTATGCTGGTGGAACTAGTAGGTATGAGGGAAGTGTGAAGAGCTAAGAGGTGTATCGTCCCCACCGTTCCGTTCCGATGTAGGCGGGGCCCGGGCCGACACGCTAACTCACGGTTACAACCGCGCCACGCACCGCGAAGGGCTTACGCGGACTCGGAACGGAACGCACGGTTTTGAATTTCGAAAACGTTTCGCCGCGCCTTTTGTTTTTTTTTTCTGTGCATGCCAGTGATACGCTACTGATTTTTAAATAAGTTTGAATTTATAATTTCGAGTGTTTTTAAGAACTTTTTGACTTACGTGGACTCTAAAAAGTTTTGATTAACTTTGCAAGTGACGATCATGACTTTATTGAGTTGAATAATGATAATTTATGCAAACTTTGAGGTTGCGTAATTTTCAATAAGTTGCAGATATTTTAATCTCCTAGGTGAGTTTCAAAATTTATTTTCTTCTATCATTTTAATTAGAATACATCATCAATATGCTAAAATAATGTTATAAGAATGGAGTTGAAAACCTATAAGTAGTTTTTTTATGTTTTAAAGAATTATTTTCAACATGCAACGAAAGACATCAACGCACGAGTTTCATCTTTCAAGTTAACTTTTCATATTCTTCTTTTTGTTGACTGACAACTAACTGAGATCGTAGCCCTGGTCAGACAAGACCTTACCAACACCCTGGAGTCAGTTAACTCACAAGATGTGGCTCAATCTTACCCAGTTCAAAAGCTCCGAAGTACAGTATAATTTTAACCGTCCTAAGTATAAAACTAGACAAATGAAGTTCTAGGTATTACAATTTTTCTAAATATATCTATCCCATTTAGAAATCTTCCTTTGGATCCTCCGGCGCGATAGTAAATGAATTAATTTCTAATTAGAAACGAATAAGAAAGTTACAATGATAGGTACTTAAATTAAAAATAATATAAACTGCCCGGAATCAGGGCCGGATTAACCATCTCGGGGCCCCTAGGCACAACTCGTTTCGGGCCCCCCCCTTTTTCATACCACAACAACGCAATTTGGAAATTTTTACTGTCTACATTACGAAATTGAATGAAGGTACCATCATTATCAACAACAGGCTTTAGTAAAAACATTGCAAAGGTATACTTCTAATTTTTTTAGATACAAAATCGTTTAAAACTTCTTGAAAATTGACCTTTTCTGAAACATCATCTTTAATTATGTTTTTTATTTTTCATTTTTTAATCGGGAGTGCTGGGCCCCTGGTCATAGTGGGCCCCTAGGCACTGGCCTAAAGTGCCTTATGGATAATACGGCACTGCCCGGAATTAAATCGGACTTCTAAAAATAATTTAAAAAGTTACTTTGTTCCACCTCAGTAGAGTTAATTTCTATCTTAATAATTGTATCTTTAGATGTGCCGATTTTTTTAAACATAGCAAGTTGGAAGATGCTAGCAAGAACGACAGTAAAAACTCATAAAGTAATCGAAAGACCTGAACAAGCGTTAAGGAGTAATGCCGCAGTAAAGCAATTTAACTGAATTAAACATCTTATTGACTTACTTTGACTTATGGTCCTATGTCCCCTAGATGGGGCAGTGGGCGTCCACAACAGTCCTCCATCGCGTTCGGTCTTGAGCTATGCGTTTGATCTCGCTCCAAATCTTGCCGATCTTCTTCGCCTCGTCTGCCACAGTGCGCCGCCAAGTTTGCTAGCAACCGTCCGAAAAAAAACATCTTATTAGGTACTAGCGGCCGCCATTCCTGTTCCCGTGGGAATTCTTAAGTATACTATAACCTGCCCAGGAGTATGAAGAATAATTGTACCAAGTTTCGTTAAAATCCGTCGAGTAGTTTTTGTTTCTTTATGGAACATACAGACGGACAGACAGACAGACAAAAATTTTACTGATTGCATTTTTGGCATCAGTATCGATCACTAATCACCCCCTGATAATTATTTTGTAAATATATTTCATGTACAGAATTGACCTCTCTACAGATTTATTATAAGTATAGATAGATTTATTTATTTATGAAGGTGGATTTATTCGTCCATATGAATCTCTGTTTGATATTTTAGGCAAAACGGTATTTTTATCGAGATCTACTAGGATGAAGTCGCGGGCCAAAGTAGGCAGTGGGTATACAATTTTCTTTCTAAGTTCCTGTCCCATCAATTACCTAGTCCAGAACTAAGTAAAGCTTAGTATTAATTAGGTACAATTGCGTGTAGATTACAGGTAAGGATAACATTAAAGAAAAAGTATTTAATTTTAAGTCCTCGACTCTAGATATTATAGAAAAGCTCGAAATTTTCAGGTTGCCGTCAAAAAGCTCTTGTATACTATGTACTAGCTGTGCCCGCGACTTCGTACGCGTGAAAATAGTTTTTGAATAATATTTCCCGTTTTTGCAACATTTTTCTTTACTGCTCCATCCCTATTGGTTGTAGAGGGTGATGTTATATAGCCTAAAGCCTTCCTCAACAAATCGGCTATCCAAGTACCTATCCAACACAAAAATATTTTTTCAAATCGGGCCAGCAGTTCCTGAGATTATCGCGTTCAAACAAACTCTTCAGTTTTATAATATTAGTATAGATAAACCTTCCCTCTCAAGCCGAATAGATAGATAGGTGAGTAGGTTATTTAAAATTTAGGTGTGGACCAAACCTATGGATTCCACCCCCTTATGAGTGGTATATGGTCCTCAAAACTATCACCTGGCTTTGGCTTAACACCTTACAGGAAACATCCTGTATGTATATTAAGAGTTCAAAGCTGCCTGTGCTTCCAAAATAAAAATAAAAAATAGAAATTTGCCTTTATTCAACCTTAGATATAACTTTATAACGTGTAACTTTTTACAATCTGAGTCTCAAGTAGCGAAACCGTCACGCTGGCTCCCACCGTGGGATCTATTGTATGTAATAACAAAACTACGCTTCCTATACGGTAGGGTTGCCATCTACAAAAAATATTTTGAATAAAGCTTTCAATCCCGCTAAAACTATAGGATAGTCAGTGCATGAGGTATGGGAGCGGCACGGGAGGGTGTTATTGAGACGTCACACGTTAATGAGAATTCAGATTTCTTTCAAATAATTTGTATGCTCTGTCATGTCATAATATGTCAATGTCATCCCTCTCGTGCCAATTCTTTATCCCAAGCACTGAGTAAGTTAAGTTAAGAACTTTATTGCAAACTTTCATGCTGAAAACATAACCCCCTTACTGAAAATATACCCATTGTTACGAGTAATAAAAGTTGCACGCGCGTTGAAACCTAATTAAAAGTGACGATTAGTATGAAAATGTCGTTTCGAAACATACGTAACTGCTTTTTTATTAGTCGGGTAGGAAATATTTCCAATATTTCCTTTTTGTAAAGAATATTAGTGTATTGCACAGCTCTATTATTACCTGTGTCACTCCGGACGCTCTCGGACGCATTTCTAATTAGATGTCCGGGAATCCCGGACCAGTGGCAACCCTACAAAGCAACAGCCGTTTGATAGACCACGCGATTGTTTCAGGGTCTGGTTATGATTACTAGTATTTTTATAAACTTATTTTATAAGTTAGAAGCGGTAGCGAGTATATTAGGATCAAAGTTAGGTGACTAATTGACTTTTGTGAAAGCTGTAAAATACGTTCATACGTCCAGAGAGCTTTTTTGTAATACTTTGGCATTATTTTGAGCTTTTGATACGTTTACTTGTAAGTTCCTAGGAGCACTTAGGTAAATATTGGACAAATATGTATATACCTACTATACTTGCATTCTATTTAAATAGTCATGATATTCATCGCACGATACAATCTAATTTACCAGAAGCTAGTATTATATTATCTGTGCCAGAAGCATAGAAGATTTGGATATTGATAAAACTTGAGTATCTATAAGATTTGTATTTATCTGTGGTTGTATTATCTTCAGACGTAACCAACATTACCTTCGATTGGTACAAATTTGCAATGTAGAGAAAATACTATTAGAAAATACATGAATATGTCCGTCACACGACTGCCGCCGAAGTCGCCGCCGCTGAAGTCAAAAGTATTTGACCAGTGTGTGTTGCCAGTGATGGTGTATGGCTCTGAGACGTGGTCGCTTACTATGGGCCTCATAAGAAGGCTCAAGGTCACCCAAAGAGCGATGGAGCGTGCTATGCTCGGAGTTTCCCTGCGTGATCGAATCAGAAATGAGGAGATCCGTAGGAGAACCAGAGTGACTGACATAGCCCGCAGAATCGCTAAAATCAAGTGGCAGTGGGCGGGGCACATAGCTCGAAGAGCTGATGGCCGCTGGGGCAGAAAAGTTCTTGAGTGGCGACCACGAGCTGGAAGACGTAGCGTGGGCAGGCCTCCCACTAGGTGGACCGACGATCTGGTGAAGGTCGCGGAAAGTACCTGGATGCAAGCGGCGCAGGACCGGTCTTTGTGGAAATCCTTGGGGGAGGCCTTTGTCCAGCAGTGGACGTCTTTCGGCTGAAACGACGACGACGACGACGACGACTGCCGCAAGGAACACTACCGAATCTTCTAATCATTTAACATTGTAGTTTTTGCAGTCTATAGTGTTAATTTTATAAATTAAACTTAAAACCCCATTCACACCAAACGTTATTTGCATATCTCTAAATTTTTAACAATCGCTTGTAACGTAAACTGACCGAAAGTCTTTAATCTTGCCGTGTTTAATTTGAGCTGGAACCACGCATTATACTGTTTGCATGCTTACAGCCGTTCTCATGGAGGCTTTACTACAGTATACAGTAACAATAGTCGCTGAGAACTAACTTAAGGCAGTTGCCGACGATACGATACGATTTACCGACATTTTTGCACTTTTTTATTTAATTTGAGCTGGAACCACGCATTATACTGTTTGCATGCATGATTTACCTAGTTTTTTGCATATTTTTCTTACTTAAATGTCTTAAATATGTAATTACAACATATTACAAATACTTTTGTATTACTTTTGAGTTTAAAATAATTAACATAGTTTTGTAAATTTTCGTGAAGTGAAAACTTAACAATTTAAATTCAAGAAAAAGGGAATTTTTCATTCATTACAAAGTAGGGTAAAAAAATATAATCAATCCTGCCGAAATAGATATTCTTGTTTAATTCCTATGTAACTGATTTCTCACGAATATCACTAGCAGCTTTAAAACGTTTATAGTAAGTATTTTTCATTCACCCGAGTATGCACTTGATTTTTTTTCTTTAATTGCAAAACAGACGTGTTGTGTCAGACAGTCTTTATAACATTTATAAAAGCTTCAACAGTATTTACTTTAGAAACTGCAAAAGGTCAGTATTTTCGAGAAATAAGGCTATTTATATTATTAATTAAATCAACGATGACAACAAATTGCTGGTGAGGTGATAACAAGAAATAGTATAAAATACAAAGATGTTAAAAGATAAAATACAGAAGGA